ACGGTTAGTTGATCTTGTGCTTGTTGCAGACAAATTACTCATGGTATCCTTATTAAAAGCCAACTGTCCAGTTTGAACTGACTTAGTTTTTAAACCATATGAATAGTTTTTACGTTCAGGAGTCATTCTTTCTTTGATTCTAGCTTCTGCTTTCAATTCTGCACCTTTTAGAACCTTTGATAAATCCATTTTGGAGATTGGTGTTATGGTTGAACTGGATTCTTTTTGTTTAGGTGCTTTTTTGGTAGAAACTGAACCCAAAGCAGATGAAGCTGAGGCGACAGAAGAAGTGATGGAGTTGGCCTTACTTCTGTCACCACTAACTGGTTGAGTAGAGATAGTTTTAGCATAAGCCTTAGTTGCTGCATTCTTTGAGCCTGGTGGTATAGTATTCTTTATAATAGAGTTTGTCTTAGAAGAAACTGGCTTTTCAGTAACTGATTTTCCTAGTCTTTCCGCAGCTTTTGTCGCATTTGGATCAATGGATCTTTTGTAAGCTTCGATAGTAAATTTTGTATCATTTGCAATCTGAGCAGCTGAATCACTTGCATACTTAACATTTGGAACCCCAGCTGAATTACCAGTTGCAGGAGATTGATAAACACCATACTTCAACTTTGCATGGTATAGGGCTTCTTTACTTAATGGTTCGCCAGATGTTTGATAAACAGATGGGAGAACATTTTTAGCTCTTGAGTTAGCCCTGCTTCTGTTTCCGCTAATTGAACTCGTCAAACTTGGAATACTCTTGATAGTCCCATCTTGACTTACTGTACGATTTAAATCGTCATCATTCACTGCTGTAATCAAAGACATAGTAGACTATTGATCTTAGAGCAGCACTATTATATTTTAAATTCAATCGAAATCAAATACAACGGGAGACAATTGAGACTGTTAGTTTTATAATACAATAGTTAATATTTAAGCAAACAATGATCCTCCTTCGAGGTGAAAAATCATAAATTAGTAATTTCAATTATTTTTCTTTTATAACAAAAAAAAATAACCATTTAAAAACAATTCTCAACATCCTATTCTAAAGTTAACTCTTAAATTTTTCGGTACTTGACTTGTCATTTTAAAAAATTCTATGTGTTTTTATCACTGCCCCTTGTTTTCCTCTCTCACCTTCCTTTCCCATCGGTTGTCACCCGTTAGAGTCTTAAAGAAATTGTACACATTGCAACAATAAATGAGGGGGGGGGAACCGAAGAAGGGTGAGGGGACCGTCTGAAGATGAATTGATGGTCGTGGTTGCGGTTGTGGTTGCGCCCTTCATATAGGTTTATTTATTTTTCTGAGAGTTCGCCTGGCACATTAAGAGACGAAATATTCTATCTATTTATTTTTTTCAGTGATAGATAAAGAGAAATTAAAAGGAAACCATACGATACCGTCTTAGGCGAAAATAGGAAATTTATATATTTCGAAAAACCTTTGTCGACAAACAAACAAAGAAACAACCAAACAAACAAACAAACAAAGCTTATCCAGTGTGAAGGACCTGTAAAATTTCGACAAAGAAACAACGTCCTCAAAAAATTACATCATAGTCCAAAGAGAAACACGCTAGGAATGAATCTTTTGCATGCATAAATTGCGTTTTGAGTTGACTTCCTCCCATGCTTAAGTGTTGAATGAAAGCATGAACCAGAATAAAGCTTGATCAAAGAAAAAGCATTATACCACGTGAATTTCACGGGGTGATATCATTAATGAGAGTGACATTTATTACTTTGAACACATTATAACGACCTGAAGAAGGGATGGGGAGGGGGGAGCATAACATAAATTGATACACTAACCTACTATAATATCTTCTTATAAACTTGAACATAACAATCTTTCTTTTCTGTTGTTACTTCCAAAAAAAGTGGTAAGAACTTTTTTGGATTTGTTTTGTGAAATGCAGTCGCTTTATATACCTCGCCATTTTATATTAGCCGCTGAAAAAAATTAATTGTAAAATATAAATACATATAAACCCAAATAAAATTTATAATAATTAAAAACAATGACATAAATCCAATACTTGATGAACCTTGGCATATAATATGTAAGGAAGGATATTAGAAAAGTGTATATATGATGATAATGCATGTCCTGTTCCTATCAAGATCCGCATATATATATAGGCATATGGTGATTGAAATAGATTATTTGCAATTACAATTAAATGAATTGTCCTCTGATTCTTCTTGCCAATTGCATATCCTTGCGCATGACAGTTATGCGTTTAGCATGAAGTGCCAGCAAGTTCGTGTGTTCTAACAATCCAACAAGATAGGCCTCGCTGGCCTCCTGTAGGGCCAAGATCGCGATTGACTGCCACCGCAGTTGTTGTTCCTCAGTTGTAAATTGCTCTGTCACCTCTTTCACTAACCTAGCAAATGGTATTTTAGATATCAACAACTCAGTTGACCTCTGGTACTTTCTAATTTCATACATAGCCAATTCACTAGCGTTGAATGCTTTGCCAGTTTTAGGATTCCTCATTACATTTTTGGATTTTACCCTATTTCTCGATCTAGTGACAGAGGCACCTTGGGAATTCCCAGCCCTAGAGTGTCGAAGTTTCTCTTCCAAATCATAACCATACCTCATCCGTGATGGCAATACATGTGGGATCTCCTCATTTACTTCTCCTTCTTCAACATCGTTATACCCTTCATTTCCAATGGATTCTCTCGTCACCTGATCTGGAGAATCAGCACGGTAGTACCTATTCCTGTCTTCCCTTCTTTGCAAAAGTCTTCTCCTCTCTCTATTACGCTGCAACAGAGACAAAGCTCTCTCATTAATAGAGTCCTGTTCAATAGTAAGCCTATTTATATTACTCAATGCTCGATTCCCAGAATTGTTTGGAATCCTGCTACTCAACATTTTATTTAACTTATGTTTGGTTTCTCTATTGCTTAACTTAACCACTTTTCACACAGAATCTTCAACACACTGATAACCTAAAACAATACCCACAATAGTACAATAGCACGGTATCCAAATAGTTGTTTCCTCTTCTTTTAAAATGAAACTTATTAACCTTCAAAAGTATACCAAAAGTTTCGTGTTTTAACTTGTTTTGTTATTGATTTCTTATAAATATATCGATGGGTTAAATAACGTGTTGTAGTTATCCATATTATATGGTATCATGTGACACGAAGTGAAAAACATATTCGAATGCTTCTCAACAAGGTGAAATTTATTAAGATAAAACAAATAATGGTTATTAAAATTTGAATAGAAATTACTATTTAATGTTTTTTGGTAGATTAAGATATGGTTTATGAGGATTATCTCTGTGGAGAGGTGTATTTCAAGTTATTGGATTAGGTACAGTTTGTTTATATTAACAAGGATTTGTAAAATTTTTGATTGATTTATCTGTTGAATCGTTTACAATGGCTCCTCATCGATTGGAAAGTGTTTTCATTGTTTATCCAAAATCCAGTACTACTCTAGTACAATTCGGTCTTCAAGATGAGATGTTCGTTTATCCAGAGTTGGAGATTCCAACTGTTGTTTATGAACATCAAGATTCTTCTGGTTCTGTGAATTATTTATCTAGACCTAAAGATTCAGATTCAAAAGAAATACATCCAATTGTAAATGGTGAAATAGTTAACATTGATGCTTTTTTACAGTTTTTAAAAATTGTTTACGTCTCTATTTTAAATGAAAAATCTTTATCAGACCCTAATAGTTTTGATAGAGAACTATCAAATATCCCATTCCTTTTAATATCACATCATTCATGGTCACAATTTCATATTGAAAAAATTACTCATTTTGTTTTTGAAGCATTACAACTAAACAGTTTCATCACATTACCTGTTTCTTTGGCTTCAAACTACGCTATGATCTCATTACAAAATTCATGTATTATTGACATTGGTGAAACCCACACCGATATTGTTCCTGTTATAGATTATTTACAAATGGATCATATTGCATCTTCAATAAAATATGGTGGTCAAACTATCAACGACAGTCTATCGAAAATATTGACAGATTTGTCGCCAGAACAAATCGAAGATCTGAAGAAATCAGCAATCTTCGAAGTGTTAAGTGAAGATGCTAAAAAAGAATCTGCTTTTAAGTTTCAAAGTTCCGATGATAACGAAGACGATAGTGCGCTAGATGTTGCAGCAATAATTACCAGTGGTCGTGATACAAGAGAAATTCTAGAAGAAAGAGAACGTAATAAAAATAGTGAAAACGTGCCAAACTCACAACTAGAGACTAACTCGTTCACAGATAGAGATGGCAATTCTATTTCTATTGGAAAACAAAGGTTTCATGGTTGTGACGACCTAATCAGTAAAATCTCAAAAAGAGTTGGTATAACTTTATCTTTAATTAATGATATAACTAAACAAAGGCCTGTCTGGGAAAACTTTGTTATAATAGGTAGCACATCTTCAATTAAAGGTTTTAACGAAGCATTATTAACAAGATTAATAGATGACCATTTGATAGCAGAGCCTGATAATGAAAAGAAAGGTAGAGAACAAGATGCTGCAAGCAATCCTTTAAATAAGAAGAAAACCAAATTTATGGGATCAAGTTTCGTTTCAAGTCGTGAATATTCACAGGTTCCTACAATAATAAAATTTGCAAAATATCCAGAATATTTCCCTGACTGGAAGAAAAATGGATATTCTAATATCCCATTCTTAGGTGGTCAAATTGTAGGCAGACAATTATTCACTCATTCTAAGGATAACTTTATTGTGACAAAGGAAAAATATAACGAAAGAGGACCATCTGCTATATGGGATGTAAGTTTTTAGATCTATAAAAACAATGCTAATATATATAAATAAATAAATAATAAAATATTATGTAACATTTAAATTAGAAACGGATTGATTAGTAAGTTAGAAAACCGGTAACTTTGATTTATATTTCCTGTTTCCTTTGAGCTTGCATGAAAAAGATTAAAGTATTTCAATGTCTTCTATATCATGTATATATTTCGTTTCGTAATCCCGTGTCACTAGGTGAAGACAATGAATTTAGTTCACCAGATCTGTAATTCGCGTCATCTTTGACAGTACTAATTTTAGAAGTTTGTGATATTATTTCATCATCGTTCTCATTTTCAGTCATTTCCTCTATTTCATCAGCGGCCCATCTTCTAAATAAAGGGACAAACCAACTTGCAACAATAACCTGTTCACTTTGATAAAGAATCAACGGAACTAATAGTTTACCCAAATGCGTTTTGTCGTCACCATATTGAGATGTGATTAACGAGACACCTAACGCAGCAGTTTTAGCAGCACCGCAAAACATAATACAAATAGTATCTCTCTTTGAATAATAGAAAGGCCTTAATAACTTGTATGAATAATAATAAATGTCGAATAATCCTGTTTTAGTTGGTGTCTTTGGAAATATCCTTAATATGATTAAGGGTCGAGAAAAGAGGTAACAAATCAATGTGAATAATAGATATAGCCCAACATTGAAGAAACAAATAAAAATAATGCACACATGGGAGACACTAGTAAAGGACTTTTGGTAAAAAGCAGTTGAAAATGAACTAAACATGATTAATAACAACATATATGATCCAATTTTTATATGATACCTTTTTAAAAAAGATAGATAGATCTGTGTTTGATTTGGAAAAATATTTTGTGTAACTTGGCCAGCAAATAACGGCACGAAAACAGATAATCCAACTTGTTTAATCACCCTTCTATAAAGTTGAGATATCCCTGAATTAGCAGCAGGATTACCAAAGGAAAATTCAGAAGTTGAAGTATATAATTGTACCATAGCAGGTGTAATAAAAGTTCCTAATAAATTACCAATAACAACTTCACATACACAAAGTAAATCATTTCCACCTGCATTTGCAGTCATTATAACATTTGATGCAACAGTTGTTGGGCAGGTAGAAGTCAATATTAGCCCAATTAGTACCCAGTCGTCAATTTGATTATTATTTGATGCTTTAATAGCACAACAAAAACCGAAAACGATTGCGGATGTGACTAAAAAACTGATCATCATAATGGTAATATGTGCTCTCCAATTAGTCATATTGGCCATTAATCTTCTAGTGGTCATACTTAAGCCACTTTGTAAAAAAATCCATGCTACTGCACCATATCCAATACTATATTCACCTTTAATTAAACCACCATCTCTTGCAAAGTTTGGAGCAAACCTAGCTATGACAATAAATATAGCTAAACAATAAAAGAACCATTGGGATTTCAGATAATTTGTAATAGGGTGATTCCATATTTTCTTTAACTTGACCACATTATTATTCACCATTTAGGAATACAGATAGTACCGATTATATATATAGGTAAATATATCCAATTTCCTACCTAGACAGACTGTAGTTTCATTCAAAATTTCTTGGTAAATTAAAACAGATCACAACTGTATACATATGATAGATCCAAAAAAGAGTATATCACAATGGTAAAATCCTTGTCAATATCTAATATATACTGTTTTGAATATCTTTTCAGATCAACCTGAAGTAACTGTAATTTATAACAACGGATGAAAATATCTTAAGTTAAGTGACAATCTCACATATACAAATTGTCATAATCCTGATTGCAATTATTATAGATCCGATTGTTATAGAATAACGTAACAAATTGACTAGAATAAAAGTGTAGCAACATATATTTGATCATCTCTAGAGGAACATGGAAATTATTAAGTAGTTTCA